CCTTTTGAGAATTTCAACAAATAAATGTACATTAAAGCCATCCTAAGAGTAGACCTAATAGAACCGTTTTGGAATGCATAAGACTCTAAAGGTGCACCTAATAAATTGGACACTTTTAAAATGTCTTAAACGTTAGCATGGTTTGTTTGGATTAACTGCAAGAAGTGTTGCAAGAAACCTTTTTGAAAGTCACTGCTCTGTAAGTTTCAGCTGTGAGAACTGCTCAAAGTTGTACTGATAATTCAAAAGAAAGTCACACATACAGAGAAATAACTTTCTTGAATAATCTTTTGAGAGAACATTTTTGCAGAGCTCGCTTCCCTCATTGTCTTCACTGTTTCCTCTTTGATAATATCAAAGGTTCTGGAGCTTCAAAGTGTGGAAGACAACCCTGACCAGCAATGTTGACAACCTTCACTTCTTCCTTACACAAACACACACACACACACACACACACACACACACACACACACACACACACACACACACACACACACACACACACACACACACACACACACACACACACACACACACACACACACACACACACACACACACACACACACACACACACACACACACACACACACACACACACACACTGTATGTATTTATCAACCAATCTTACGTAATGGAAACTGAACAAATTTAATTTCAGATATGCCTCAATTTTGAACCATCTGTAATCATGTGACAGCAGACAGACGGCAGGAAAAAAAACACACAGACGTTCAAGCACACACACACTTTTTATGACTTCAAGTGTGATGTCACAGAAAAGTGAATGTGGTCTGGGCTTATTTCTTCACGGGCTAATATAATTTTTCCACCGGCGGAGAGTCCCCCCCCAAGAGCAATGTAACTCGATGGTGGCATGCAGCAAATACACACGGATCCCTTGTCCAAACTGGAACTGGTCCTGGCAGGATCTCAGCTCCCAAGTTGTTTATATCAGTGAGCAGAAGCTATCCATTACCCCGAGCAAGGTGCCTGATGCCTTTTTCCACCAGCGGTCAAAGTGATATTGGTTTCTTGTATTAGAGGAGAGAGGATGGAGTCTGCCAAACTCCCACTCTCAGGGCCTATAAAATCACATGTCTGAGCAGCTGAGCTGAAACTGTGGAAGAAGTCAGAGGAGGGTCTGAAGAGTTGGAGAAAAGGGTTTAACGTTAAAGCTTGACATACATTGGAAGTCAAGTAAGGGAGTAATTACAGTTAAACATAGAAACATCTCTCAAGAGACATTTTAGAAATGGTAATTTAATTGAACAAATCTCATGTTATTGCTATGGTCAGAGAATATGGTTCTTTTCTCCTGAATGTCGCCCACAATCATTCACCTGGGGTGTTTCTGGGGTGTAATATGTCTTAAGCTGATGGCTAAAAAAGCAAGCACAGCATTAAGTCATTGTTTAGCTACTTACTGATGATTATAGGCCTCAATACATTTCATATATTCCCGTATTTTCATTACATGAGGTCTTGAATCTCAAATTGCTATCTGGACGACATTCTTGCCTTTTATAGGGTTGTTACCAAATATTATCAATGGATGACCAAAACAAAGAATACTGCAGAGGGACGTTTATTTTGCCTCCAGATGCTTTGTAGGCCTTCAAAATCATCTTCACATTTGGTACTGAGCATAATCAGTCTCTTCTGGAGATGAAAGGTATTTTGTCCGAAGCATTTCTCACTCTTTGTAGTCAGTCTTGATTAGATTGCCAACTTAATGCAGTGAACGTATTGATAAAGAACCGTTTTGTGGTGATTGCATGCCCTCAGTTAGTCACAAACTGGAGGATTGGGCTAGCGTCATACCTGCATCCATTTAAGCCAATAGCGGCAGGGAGACAGCCGTCGAAGTTGCCAGTTTGACGGGCAGAGGTGCAGTTAGAAGAGGAGGAACCACAGTGGCTAAATAGCACCAGCCGCCAGCCAAAACCTGGGAAATGTTTGGTATTACTGGTGATTTTGTTTACCACCTAGCTTTTTAGATAACCACATATCACTTGGATTGTCTATTCTGGGCTAGGAATCACCCATGTTTTTTCCAAATAGTTAAATAGGGAGGTACATTTAGGGATTTTGAAGTGTTTGTGGCCTGCAGACATAAAAAGATTTCCTATATGAGGGAATGCCAGTGAGTGCTCTGGGTCCGCTGAAAGCCCTGGTCTAAAGTCAGCTTCCACATTTCATGGGGTGTTAACAGTCTCTCAGACACTCTGGTGGGCAGCTAGTAGCTCTGTTTTATGGAGTGTAAACCTTGAGTTCTTCAGCATCTTTTTTTAACCCTCTTACCTTTCAGCCATTACGTGACCCGGGACATTCTATTCTGTGTAATAGTTTTAAGGGATGTACACCATATTGCACTATGTGCTGCAACAAACCGTCTTCCCGTTCTGTTATTCTGTGTAGCATGAGTGACATGTTGTTATGTGATGGAATAGACAGATGCTTGTTGGTGTTAAGATACAGTCCTGGCTCGAGGTGTTAGTGAGCCGCCCCAGGCTGCCCTCCAGCCAGCCTTCGCTTGGAACGCTATCATCACTCCAGTTCCCCACCAACCAAAATATCACCTCAGCCTGGCTACGTGTTTGTTTTCCTACCCTGCTTCTGCACAGGGCCGGAAATGTTTAGTAAAATAGACAGGGTTGAGGTTTTGTGTCTTTGGACCAGGGATGGAGGTACCCAGGTCCTCCTTGTCCTCTCTTTCACCCCGTGATGTGTCCTGGGTCAGGGGGACATCTGTGGTCAGCATCAAGCTGGGAGAGGTGGAGGCTGAGGATAGCTACTGTCATCATGGGGTAAATAGAAGGAAAGAGGGGGCTGATTAGTGTTAACACAGACCCGGAGATAAAGGGTTGTAGTCTGACTGAGGCCGGGCTCGACCAGTAAACAACCAGTGGGGTGTCTGAATGGCCTGGAGATCAGCCTTTGGCTAAACCTGAAGGCCTCTCTCACCACTGGGTCTTCTAAACACGCATCCAAACACACATGCTCAACACACATGCACACACATCTCATGAGAAGGAAGCTTGGTAACACACATTCACTCTACGAGAGGCACACCTATACTCCCAAAAAGAGAACAAATATAAAAAGAGACTTTTAAATACACACCCACAAACGCATACACCGGTGTGTTTAACGTCTTAAATAGAGGATGTTAGCTGACTTCAATGTGTTGGCAGGTGGTGGGGTCAACTTCGGTGACTTCTGTCATCATCATTTGGTTGGGAAAAGCATTTGTCATACACTTAAGTAATGGATAATGTGCAGCGAGGCAGTCATTATTGAAAAAAAGAACGATCCCCTCGATCCTCCATAGCAACGTTCATTATTTTGCTTAACAGCGGTCTGTTATCGAGTATTAACAACCTCTGAAATGTCCAAATTGACCCATCAAAATTGAGTATTCAACTAAGCCGTGTAATAAGCTGTGATATACAACAAGGTGATGGTGTTCAAACACCATGGGCTCATTTGAAAAGTTTGTGAATTATTTAGCTCTTACTAGATTGTTTTTTGATGCAGCACAGTTAGAATAAACTCATCGGACTGAGCTGTCTTTCCTTTCCTGTTACTCATTTTGTTCCTAGGCCAGCTTTGGGAAGAACTAAAGTGATCTCACAAGCAGGTTTCAGATCAACTAGGAATCATTTGCTCATCAGCGCTTTGCTCCAGACACTGAAACGGTGCTGCACGGCCAGCATGGCAATGTGATGTCTACTAGCTGAGATGGTGATACAGTCTGAATGCACTTTCTGCCACTTTCTTTGCCTGACACTCATCCCACGAGGACAGTGTTTGATCCAAAACGAAAGGTACAGTTTCCATAGGGGGTACAGCCAGCCCTGCTTCCTCCTGGTCACCGTAATCTTTGGTGTCTCCTTCGAGTCAGGCGTAATCAGTCACACACCGCCACATGTTTTGACACCTGTCCTGTGTGGTGTGCAGGAAGTAAGCATATTACTGCGCTGCAATCACACTCCCTTCCTTTGGAAACACACACACACAGACAATCAAACCCATCTTCACATGAATTAAGACAGACAGGTGGATAGTCAGGAAGGGATTAAAAACGAGGCAGAGGAGAAGAAATGAAGGTTTCCTTACATTGTGGGGTTTTTTGAAAAGAGGGTTGGATGACTTGGGAGGCGAGTGACTGTTAATGGGAAGAAATGAACGTGCTTTACTGGTGGATGTGACAGGAAGAGACTGTTCTTAACAAGGCGTCAGAGTCAGTCAGAGTTACAGATCCATCACTTCCCAGAGGCTGCGAGAAGGCGGAGGGAGACATTTAAGGATTTTCAGAGAGGGAGAGAGTCTGTGAAGGGTAGAGAAGAAGAGGGAGAAAGAGGGATTTGAGTGTGGCTGACAGCACTGCATTTAATTTGGGCTGCCAGATCCTTTTTCATTTGACTCCCTCTCAACCAGCTTAGAGGCTGCGGAAGACTTGGAGGCGAAGGTTTGCCAGGATGTTTCAGATTAGCACTGATGTGCCACGTCACACTTTAAGCCGGCCTGTAATTCATGTTCAACAGGGGGATACTCACACATTACACTGTGCTGTGCAGGACGTGATTAATTGACTCACACTCTAATGTCGGGTGTAATTTGCCCATCCTCTGATGTGAAACTGACTTTATACTAGACTTACTGTATGTCGCCGTCCCAGGGATGTTATAATGGAGTCTTGGCTCTGAGCTGTGTAATTTTTTAAGTGAGGATAGGATGAGGGAAATGCTTCAGGTAGTCTTTCCACTCAGTTAAATACAGTCTAATACTCAGGTGAAATGTAATGGGGCAGAATTGTTGTCTTACTCTAGGATGAATGCTTGACCAACTCATGTCATTTAAGCTGTCTCTATGAAAAGTTAATTAAATGAAGATAGGGAATGGTGTGTTCTTCCGTGATCAAGGTCACTCTAGCATGTCTATCATGAGTTCTACTTGATGCAGCTATTTTAAACCTCTGCTTTTTCTTTTTCCAGACTATGCTCTTCCTGGGGACTCTGGAGGAAGAGGAGGGCCAGGAAGGAGAGGGAAGGAGGGAGATGGCAGAAGCTCTGCTGTCTGCCCTGACAGACAGACACCAGCAGAGACAGACATGGAGAGACAGGTAACACAATGTACAACCAACTTTGTTTCTTTCTATCGGTCCCTCGAGAAACACATGTTTGACAGATGTGTGGGACGGGTAAAGTAGGACAATCTGAGGTACGAGCGCGGTTTCATATTAAAACTTGTAACCCTATCACACACAAATGGGAGGAATAACATGTTTTGGTGTGGGCTGCCTGGTGAAATAACGTCCAAAAAAGTGAATGACATTCATGTTTTGTTCAGAATATCTCAGAATTGTCCATTTCAATTATATTGGCCCATTTCAATTATATTGGCCCAAACTGCAGTGCAATCGAGTTGTTTGTGAATCCATTTGAACTAATGGTGATTATTAACCCTTTCAGTTAATGACAACATGCTCACAACAAATAAATAACACACCCATGCATTGGGGTCAATGGTCCTCACCCAAGCAAATATTTAGGAAACCCCCAATTTAGGAAAATGAGACACATCCAAAACTTTGACACAAACACACGTTGCTTAAATTGCCAAAAAATCACCTAAGGAGAGGTTGCAGCCAAGCAAAAAGGCTCATTTTACTTGGAAGGACCAGAGCGATTGATCTGTTGAAATATAATGAGTAACACCAAGTTATTTGTGTGCAGGCCTAATTACACAGTGGGGACTCAAAACTCAAAACATGACTCAAAACTCCAAACAAAATAATCATTAATCGACTATTTACTTCTGCTTTGTTTGAGAAGCTAGCAAGAGTATGGTGGCTTTTGAAATGATCCAACCAAAGACGACGCAGCCTAGTGTACCAAACCCTTTTCTAGTTAAGAGTTACTGTATATCAAAAAGTCGTCCGAATTGGCAACAGTCACAGCCCATCCCTTCGGACCTCCTCCAAAAACATTCACCCCAAAACGATCATGATGATGAACGTGATCATAATGAAAAGATAATACAATCATTACTTTCGATAAATCCAACGGCTGTCAAGCTTGTAGCCTGCGGACAAATCCTGTGAGTCGCAATGAGTCCGGGCAGGTAGGGAGGTTGTTTGAAATGTCTTTTTTTGTCAGAGCATTTGATTTATAATATGATGTTGGAATGTACAACAAGTGGAGAAGATTGTCCGCCATTGTTCTAAGTGCATTGACGATATTCCTTTTTGAAGCACCGATGTGGATCCCACAGATACTCTAGTTCTGTAGTTTCTGTTTGTTTGTGGTCCTTGGGCCTGGAAGCTATCACAGCTATCACAACGACACGTGTGTCTTGGATAAGCCCGCTCACTTCCTTCCTTCCAGATAAGGACAGAGAGCTCAAGGATTAGAACACTGGCCATTCATTCAGATAAAGGAGGGCCTTACACACACAGACAGAGACACACACACACACACACACACACACACACACACCCACACACAGTGTTATTTTAGCTGTTCATTCTCTTAGTCAGTCTCTCCCTCAGCACTAGCAAGGACACACACAAACACTGGCATGCATGTATACACTACATCTGCATGCACATGTGTTTCGCTGCTTATTGTCTCTATCAACAGATTTGACCTCAGTGTCACACACACACACAAACACACGCACTTTGGACCAGACATGATCCAGAGCCTAAAAAGAGTGCCAGGGGCATAATCCAAAGACTACAAATTCCTGAAAGCAACATCTCTCCTTCTGGAAGATGTATGTCAACTTCCTGCTGTTTTGCCGCCCTCACCTTTCCGCGGCGCCCCTCTGTTTTGAGTCGTCCCCCTCAGTTGACCCTTAGCTGTGCCCTATCCAGATGAGCCTTGTAAACAGGCTGTTTCCACACACCTTGCTATGCCGTGTCGACGCCCACCGCCTCACAACTCTGATGTAGGGCCTGCTCTGATAGTGCATTCCAGCTACAGGTGCTGAAAGCTAGAAACCATCCCACCCCAAACGTAACATCAGCGCTATCCCCCATCATCCCAAGTTCCCCCACCACCCACAATGCACTGTTACCAACTTTTCAGCCATGTCTAACCCCTCACCCTAAGATCCTGACAACCAGTATCACAGACCAGGACAGGAAATGCTCCGTCCTTGTCGGCGGGGCAGACAGACGTTTACTCTATCAGCAGTGAAAGACTGATTAGATTAGTTTTGGAGGAGGGCAAGAGTCCCACACAATGTGTTTGAACTCCAGCTGCTCCTGATACATCTTCTCCCCTTTAAACACATGAAATGTCTCTCCCTAACCCCCACCGCCCCCACTTACAAAAAAGCCGGGGGTCATCCTGTCAAGTGGCTGTCAACAGATCTCATTTACACAAAACTAAACACATGGCTGTGTGCAATGTTAAGTGGGACGTACTGGTACTGATTAGAGATTCGCAGCTGATGAAGGTTAAGGATGGACTTGCTTGTTCTTTGAGGAAGAAGGAGGTTTGTATTTTTGTATGGAGACTAGAAGACAAAGTTATTGTTTGAAAATTAAAGAGTGAAAAATCAGAGACAGAGTGAGGGAATTTGGTTCAGTCAGATGTATTTGAACCGTCCTTTATTCTCATGAAAGCACTCTCCATAAGATTACTTTTGAAATTAATTTGCTGATTCTTTTTGCGGCTTCTCTTTTTTATTGCGCGTCCTAATTAGGTTTCCACACAATATGCAACAGGCAGGCTTTTATCATAATACTGCCTTTTGTTTCCATGGTTTCTATTCAACACATAATGTTTGCAAAAGGATGGAAAAAGAGAGAAAAGCATGATTGATGACTCTTGCTAGAGGCACATAAACATAAACAACCAGCACTGATTGATTAAGTTTCTGGCTGACTTTTGTTTCTTAAACACCAGTTAAAGCAGCACTCTGCGCGCTGGAACGTGGGCCCCGCTCGCTGCCATTTTCTGCCTCCGGGGCATTTTTAGCACTATCAAGAAGGAAAGGAAGAGAAATTGGACCTGGTGACCAGTGGTTCTTCACGAGTGACTTATAGGCACTCAAAGTGAGTGATGCCTCGACTCGACCCGCTAGCAGAAGCAGTCCATTCATTCACTCTGAGCCAACAAAGTTATGAGAGCTTTTTTATTCTTATGAGCTTTTCTGGTAACTGGGTTTTCCCGATGCACATGGTGAATTCTTTGATAGATGCTGCCCTCCGTGTCCCTTTGGTAAATGCCCCGTGAGTTCCCTGGAAAGAGATGGATTATTATGTGGGTGACTCGGAGAGCAGTTGAGTATGCCACACAGGAGCTTGCAGATTTAAGAGCAAAGCACAACCTCCAGGGAACACGCCTATGATGCTATCTTGGATCAGAATGATTACATTATTTCTACTTTTGAACCCCCTGGATGCAGTGACCTTACGGTGACCTTCCAGTGCCTAGAGGTCACTGCTCTGACCAACATAAAAAAACATAAAAAAAGCTTTGTCACAGCCGGCGAGCAAACACTGAAGGGAACAGCTGCGAGTTTTGTACTGACCATGCAAACTGCTGTAGGCTTTGTAAGGTCATTATATGATAATGAAAATCATTACAGAATTACATGGGGGTTTAGGACATGAGAGCAGCGGGGAGGGGAGGGGAGGGCCACATTGGGTTTGATAAATGGACTGTGAAGGTGCCCATCTGGCCCTCTCTATGGCTTTTTCTTCCTGCTCTTTTATCCACTCTCGTCCTTTACTACCCCTCTTTCATCCCCCTCCTCTGTTCTCCAGCGGGCCAGTGTAAAAGCAAGCGGGCCTGTAGTGAAAGATTAACAGAGTGCAAACCCAACTCACCTCTGTGGAGGAGAAAAGAAGAGGGGAGACAGGCGGAGGTGTTTATGACCCCAAGGCAGGGTTTGTGCATGACTTGGCAAACCCTGCCCATCTCTCAGTGTGGGCCGGTAGGAGAGTAGGCAGCCATTGACCTTTGGCATCGGAAGCAGTTGGACAGTTCAGGATGTGAGAGTTGCTGCACTTCGGAGGCACTAGGTATTTTTTCTTCAATAGGCTTTGGAGGTAATACCTAGCTAGGTTTCAAACAGTCATTTCATTTGTTTCACAGACCCCTCCTCCTCATATTAGAATTGGTAGAGGAAATGGATGTTTGTTAAAGAAACCGCAAATTCTTTAGCAGTGGCAGCTTGGGATACAAAATACATCATATCTATGTATTTATGAGAAATTAGAAATATTAGATTTCTAAGAATATCATTTATTGCATTTTTTCTATTTTTTCTATAATTCAAGTGACTAATTATTAGAGCATCTAGTTCCTTTAATTTCCAAGTATTTTTAAAATGTTTGTTGATTTTGGATTATATTTACGGATGGAAACTAGCTCAAAGCTAAAATCCGGCTCATTTACATTTAAAAGCATTATTTTGTTTAAAATGTTCATTAATGTGCACTGTCCCGGTTCAAATAAACGATTAAATAAATAAAAATAAATATCACATATCATATTTTTATTTTACCCTTTAATTTTTATAATTTAAAAAACATTGCCATTTTTCTAGTCCGTGGAATGTTAAGGCTAATGCTCTTTTTTGAATGCAATTCCATCCCAGTTGCCCTTTGAAATGACCTGAGCCACATGGTACAGGTTAGGGGTGTTACTATAATAGCTGTACACTCAGAATTTGTGGCGTAATACATCTGTTGCCTGTGTTTATTACTTTTCTCCAACTTGTTGGGAGTTAGTGAGGCCTTTATCCCAAGACAAAAGCTACATCAGCTGACATGGCAAGCACATCTAAAGGACCGAGAAGGAGGTCCACGTGTCCACAGCTGCACTCATCACTCAGCTGTCCATCTTGACCCGTGACCTGTAGGGCTGTCCCCCGGCATCCATTGGCTTTATGTTCCCTGCCATTGTCATCCTCTCTTGTCCTCACCTGGACCGGGCGCTGATACACAAAAGGTCCAGTCTGTCATCAAAACCAGGGGTCACCCGGGGCCAGAGAGCCGAGGTTGAAGCCGTGCCCGGCCGGGGATGACCCCACCAGTGATGTCAGCTACCAGTTGCACCCCCCTGTGGAGAGGCATAGAGACGGAGAAAAAGCAGGAGAGAGACC